AAAAAAAAAAAAAAAAAGGAACTAAAGCAACACTGTTGAAGTGCTCGAAACATGTTAAATTTTTTTTCCCTTAATCTATTATCACCTATGGATCATCAGCTTTCCGTATTAGCTGCAACTTTCTTTCCTCCTCAAGGAGTACCAGAGCAGAGCCAGGAGGGGTCAAAGGATACCCTCCAAATCTAAGCCCAAATGCCTAAATGCACTAGAGGGACAACCCCAAGATTCTCAATTCTTTACTACCAAAGCAAAATTATGTATTTCCACACTGATATTTTGGTACAACTATTTATATCCATTAAGTGTGTATTGGATTACATTCCAGAATTAAACATGGTTTTAGAAGTACTGGCCTCTACCAATAACAAGTCTAAAGGACTAAGGATGGTCTTTGACTTATAATGGGGTTAAGTCTTTATGAACTATCATAAGTTGAAGTACTGTAAGTTCAAAATGCATTTACTAAAAGAATGCATTTATAGGCTGAACATGGGGGCTCACACCTATATCCCCAGCACTTTGGGCAGCCAAGGTGGAAGGACTGCTTGAGTCCAGGAGTTTAAGACCAACCTGGACAACATAATGAGACCTCGTCTCTACAAAAAACAATGAAAATTAGCTAGGCATGGTGGCGCACACCTGTAGTCCCAGCTACTCAGGACGCTGAGGTGGAAGGATTGCTTGAGCCAAGGAGGTCAAGGCTACAGTGAACCAAGATCGCACCACTGCACTCCAATCTGTGCAACAGAGTACAAGACCCTGTTTGCAGATAAAAACAAAAAAAAAAGCATTTATACACCTAACCTACAGAGCACCATAGCTTAGCCTACGCTACCTTAAACAGGCTCTAAACGCATTAGCCTATAGTTGTGCACAATCGTCTAACACAAGGCCCATTTTTAATAAGGTGTTGAATGTTGCATGTAATTTATTAAAGATCATATACTGAAGAGTATCGGTTTACCCTCATGATCAAATGGCCAACTGGGAGTTATGGCTCATTGCCACTGCTCAGCATCATGAGAAAATATTTGGGCCACATATTGCTACCCCAGAAAAAGACTAAAATTCAAAATTCAAAAAGTTTCTACTGAATACATATTGCTTTTGTATCACAGTAAAGTGAAAAAAAAAAAAATCATTAAATCAAACCACCATAAGTCAGATACCATCTGTACCTCAAGTCCCTAAGCCTAAACCATTCAAACAGAAAGTGCAGGGATAACATTCCCATTTTACTGGAGACACTGCGATCTCAAAAAAAAAAAAAAAAAAAAAAAAAGACTCAGCTGGGCACGGTGGCTCACGCTTGTAATCCCAGCACTTTGGGAGGCCAAGGCAGGTGCATCACCTGAGGTCAGAAGTTCGAGACCAGCCTGACCAATATGGTGAAACCCCGTCTCTACAAAAAAAAAAAAAAAAAAAAAAAAAAAAAAAAAACCCAAACCCAAAAAAAAAAAAAAAAAAAAAAAAAAAAAAAAAAACCCTCGAGACATACATGTGTGTTTATCCATTATATCATCCACAGTTCCTTTGAGTCTACAAATTGGACAGTAGTCCCCGACAGAAGCATGGTTAAAGACCTGACAACTGCATTCACTCTACATTTTACCAATCATCTGGTGCACTGTCACCTACACCAAGCCAAGGGACCAGTTTCCACATTACATAGTAAAATAATGTGATGGACAGCCAGATGTGAGGAATGGTAAGGAAAAATGAAGATTTTTACCTTGAGAACTTTGGCTTAGCCTGGCTGAGGAGCGAGTGACTCGAGCAGATCGTCGGGATGTGCCATCACTTTCTGAACTGTCTGTGTGCTCGAGATCTGTAGAAAAATCGGAATCTTCGGTTCCATCTGAACTACTGCCTGCATTCCTCTGCAATACCATAAATCCAGACATTAGCACAGTAGCATTTGGTCTAAGGGTTTGCATTAACACTGAAAATAAAAGCTGTGACACTGAAAACACCTAAGTTTTCAAACCTAAGAAAGGATTCCACAAGCATTTCCCATTCTCCCACCCTCAGGCAGCTTTATTTAGAACTCTTAAATGGAATAACCTACAAATAAGGAACTTTTGTTAAACAAATTAAGAGAATTAATTTTTTTGTTTTTTTGAGGTGGAGTTTCCTCTGCTCTTGTTGCCCAGGCTGGAGTACAATGGCGCAATCTCAGCTCAACCTCCGCCTCCAGGGTTCAAGCAATTCTCCTGCCTCAGCCTCCTGAGTGGCTGGTCTACAGGAGGCTGCCACCATCCTCAGCTAATTTTTGTATTTTTAGTAGGAACGGGGTTTCACCATGTTGGTCAGGCCTCCCAAAGTGTTGGGATTACAGATGTGAGCCACCACGCCCGGCATGAAGAGAATTAATTCTTACTGTATTAGCACTAAGAATGAACCAAGACCATTTGGAGATCAATATCACAAAAAAAGGTCTACTGTAGTGAGAAAATCATTGGTGCTGGACCTCACTTAACTTTAGAGTAGCTTTTATTCAATGTCTCCATGAAAAGCTATCACATTTATTTTTTATTTTTTTTTATTTTTTTTTATTTTTTATTTTTTTTGAGACGGAGTTTCATTCTTGTTACCCAGGCTGGAGTGCAATGGCTCGATCTCGGCTCACCGCAACCTCCGCCTCCTGGGTTCAGGCAATTCTCCTGCCTCAGCCTCACGAGTAGCTGGGATTACAGGCACGCGCCACCATGCCCAGCTAATGTTTTTGTATTTTTAGTAGAGACGGGGTTTCACCATGTTGATCAGGATGGTCTCGATCTCTTGACCTCGTGATCCACCCGCCTCGGCCTCCCAAAGTGCTGGGATTACAGGCTTGAGCCACCGCGCCCGGCCTAAGCTATCACATTTTTAAAAAACCACGTATACTATTTCAAAATATCATGGACCAGAACTCTGATCCCAAAAGAATTCCCTATTTCAAGGCACCAATATTATTCCTGCATTTGGTGAGCCTGAACCACCCGTTGGGCAAGGTGGCTCATGCCTGTAATCCCAGCACTTTGGGAGGCAGAGGTGGGTGGATCACCTCAGGTCAGGAGTTCAAAACCAGCCTGACCAACATGGTGAAACCCCATCTCTACTAAAAATACAAAAATTAGCTATCGTGGGCATCCTCCTGTAATCCCAGCTACTGGGGAGACTGAGGCAGGAGAATCACTTGAATCTGGGAGGTGGAGGCTGCAATGAGCCAAGATCACACCACTGCACTCCAGCCTGGGCAACAAGAATAAAACTCCGTCTAAAAGAAAAAAACTATACACACACACACACACACACACACACCACCTATCAGCTGGGGTCATTTTAGGAGACATTAAAAAGTGTACATTTTCAACACGAAAAACCTCTGTGAAGAGAAAGATTTCTACTTAAATAAGCAAGACCACCACCCAGCTTTCCAACTAACTCAAGGGTAAACACCTGGGAAATGAGCAGGAATCACAGAAAATGGCTAAATGAAGGGGGAATCTTAAAAGTCACCATTATAGTCCAATTACCTAGTTATTTAAAGCCTTGACGTCAGACTTGTTGCTTCCTGGCTTGATAATGGAACTCACCTCTTCGATGTGGCTTTCACCAATATACCTCGAATTGTACTCCAGAACAGATTTAACTGCTCCTTCACTTCCTTCCCGTAACACTCTGTATACACCTCCAAGCAGAGAACTTACTAGATCCTTGTAAAGTTATTCATGTCTGTTTTCTCCTATTGGGATGCGATATCCTTAAGCCAGGGATCACGTCTAATTAATTTCTGAACCTTCAGCAACCACCCAGCAGAAAGCAGTCAATAGACATTTGTTGAATTGAGTTAGATTTGTTCTATATTCTGGATCTGCCACTACCTGAGTGGCTTGCGGCATTCCATGGACCTCTGTTAGTTCAGCTGCAAAAAGGGACAGGGCCATTCCTGGGTGATCTCCTAAGCCCCTTCTAATTCTTTAAGTTGTTGGTTTTTACCAACTACATTTTCTACGCGCTGTCGAACTCGCAAACAAGGAAATGTTAAGGCTTGGAGGCAACCGGCCTGAGTAGGATCCCCTGGGAGTGGGCGCTGCCTTCCCAACACTCAGTCCGCTTTGTTGTGCCCCACACCTGGAAAGGAACGAGGCCTCAAAAACCCCGCCTCTCCACCTATCAGCGTCCCCACTCGGAAAGGCGGGGATTCGGGCCACCCAATCGAGGTCCGGCTAAGCCGCGCCCCCACGGGACAGACTGCCAATCCCGGCCAATCAGGAGAAGAGGGATCGTTCTCTCCAGCCAATGATAGAGCGCTGGGGCCCGGGCCAGACACCGCCCCCGCACGCGGGGAGGTGACCGTTGAGACCAAACAGGCGGCGTCACCAGCCAATCAATTTGCTTCCAGACGTTTCAGTGACCAATTAACAATAAGAACGCCTCCGATCCAGGCAAGCAGAGGGCGGGAATAGTTGCAAGCAAAGGCCGAGGCCAGGGTCGGGCCCACATTTTTCTGTTGGGTATGGACGGAAGAGAGGGTGGCTGAGCAAGGTTCGGGGGAGCGGGAAGTTGGGACCCAAGCACTGTGAGGCGTGGTCAACTGCGTCACGGTGCTCAATCGACTGTCCTTAGAAACCCGCCATCCCTCCTCTCCCGTTTCTCACCTTCCTTCGCGGCATTGCTGGCGGCTGCGGCCCGACGGTTCCGATTCGGGCAGCGGCGGCGGCAGCAGCAGCAGGAACGGTGGCTCCGGCGGGCTCCGTGGCGGCCTCTGTAGCAGTCCCAATCCTGCGGACGATCCCTAGTGCCTCCTGCCTCTCAGCGTCTGAAGCGTTCTACGCAGGCGCCGCGGGCTGAAGCGCTTTTTCCTTCACTTCCGGCTGGGTCTCACGTCACCTGACGTTACGGGCCAAAGAGAGTGCTGGGAGGTTCGATCCTTTCGGTGAAGCCAGTGGGCGCCATTTTGAAGTTGGGCAGAAAGTGACGCCCGTGGTGGAATCCGGGGCCAGCCATTTTTAGTTACGTGAGTGGCACTCTTTGTGGGCGTGGGTAGCCATTCTTGTTTGGGGCAGAAGCCTGACAGTTGATGTAAATGGTTCTCATCTTTACTTTAGGCAAAATTCCCTTCCCGGTCGTTTTAACTTCTAGATTCGAGGAAGGAAACCCCCCAGAATCCATCAGGTTGCTGAGATTAGAGTTAACCTCTTCGTTGCCTGATTGTTTAAAGGACGTTTCCGTTTATTATATAAACTCAAAGTTGCGGAGGGATGTTTTGTAAAAGAAACTCCGTATTTTAAGAACCATCCTGTGTCTTGAAGGGGTAGGAATGGGGAATTGAAAAAGGAACTAAAGGGTAGCGTCCGCCATCAGGAAGTTTCCTGTCTGGTAGAGGAGACATTGTCCTTGCCCTTAGCTGACAGTAAGTTGATGTCGCGGGAGGTGGCAAAACCATTTTCCAGAAGCTGCATTTCAAAAGAATTCCCAATTTATCTCTGTGGCGAGCGCCCCCTCCCTTCCCGCACTGTGTTTGGGTTTGAGAGCACAGGGGGCCCTGCGGTGAAAAATGTGACTTGCAAGTGGAGATGCGGTATGAGAGTCAGAAAAGCTTTGGATGACCTCTGGAATCCAAATGCTTGAGCCGAGAGTTAAGAGGCGGAGAAAGAGGAAGGAATGTTTTCAGTGAAGCTGAAGCCTCCCCAAAGAATGGAAATTTAAATAATGAGAGGGCCTAGGAAGGAGAAGTTGGTCACAGATACTAGGCTGAAGCAAGAGCCATAAGAAAAGGTTGGAAAGTTGAGAGCGGGCCTTGAGGATTTAACCTCTCTGTAAGAAAAGTCTTGAGAGGACCAAGTCTTGGCCAATTGCGACTGGGTGGAATCCAGGCATGCTCAGTCATTAAGTTAGGATCCGGAACCCCAATTTCAAACAGGCCCAGTTAAGATGGAGATTTCCCCAGGAGCAAGGCTAAAGAACAAAGTAGCATAAGGTAAACATCGGATGTGCTAAGTAAAGAACCCTGAATAGTTAACGTTCCAAACCCTTAGCCAGCACTCTCCTTGGGGATGTCCTGGGCCAGTGTTGACACAGGCAGCTTTTAGTATTTAATACTTAGCTTTTAGTGCTTAGTATACCTTTGATAACCTACTTAGGTTGAACTGCACGTAAGAACTTATTTGAAAATGGCTCACTTTATTTCTTCCTTTGTAGACCCTCGGCGGTTAAGCATTTAATTTCATACCGTCACTCTTATTTTGCACTTGCTGGTATGTTCCTGAGGTTACATTTGAATGTTCTGGCTCCCCAACTGGTGGTAAGGATCTCTTATATTAAGAGCATATCTCAGTTATTTCATACCATCCTTCTTTTTTTTCTCTCTCTCTCTCCTTTTTTTTTTTTCATAGACAGAGTCTCCCTCTGTTGCCCAGGCTGTAGTTGGGACTACAGTTGTGTGCCACCACACCCAGCTAATTTTTGTATTTTTTGTAGAGACAGAGTTTCACCAGGTTTCCCATGCTGGTCTCAAACACCTGAGCTCAGGTGATCCGCCCATCTCAGCCTTCCAAAGTGCTGGGATTACAGGCGTGAGCCACTGCTCCCACCCATACCATCCTTTCTAATGGTGCTCAAACTTTGTTCTACCTACAGTAAATGCTTGCTAGTTAGTAAGAATATCATTACTGTTTTATCGTCTCTGAATGTATAGCACTCAGAGATTATGAAGTATCCTTCCCTAAAAATTAGTGTTTCAGAATAAGATCTTATCCTGGCTTACATCCATCACACAAGTACCAGCATTACAAAACTTCGTTAGTTTCTTACACTAGATTCCCTAAGACTGTAGCTGATACTAAAGAGTTTACAGTTTCATTTAGATATGGTTCTTGTCCTTGGAAAATGTACACTCTGGGAGAAAGATGAGAAAACTAACACCAGTGTGATAGAAACATGATCATAAGGGGAAAAAAATGTATAGTACGAGAGAGTAGACCAGCTAAGTGTATTTAGAATGGGGAGGGGGAGGATCTTAAAAGCTTATTCCTTCTTCATTTCTTTTTTTTTTTTTTTCTGAGACAGTCTCACTCTGTCACCAGGCACCAGGCTGGAGCGCAGTGGCGCGACCTCGTCTCACTGCAACCTCCACCTCCCCAGTTTGAGCAATTCTCCTGCCTCAGCCTCCGGAGTAGCTGGGACTACAGGCGCACGCCACCACGCCCAGCTGATGTTTTTTGTATTTTTAGTAGGGACAGGGTTTCACCATGTTGGCCAGGATGGTCTCTATCTCTTGACCTCGTGATCCGCCCGCCTCCGCCTCCCAAAGTGCTGGGATTACAGGCGTGAGCCATCGCACCCGGCCCCTTTCTTTTTTTTAAACCAAATATAATATATACTTTGAGGTTCATTTTCATCACCACACAATTAGCTTTCCAAGCAGGAACTGATGTCGATTTCAAAGCCTCTGATTGGTTGTCCCCCAGGCCATCCTCAACCTCCAGACTTCATGTTGACACTCTCGACAGTCCTCCTTGCTTTTATACTTTCTCACAGGCTTTCCTTCCTGCCTGAATGCATCTCCTAACCTTCCTTAAAATTTTCTTATTTCAGAAAATATTTTCTGATTTATTCTTTGTAAGATAGTAGGGCATAATTTATTTTGCACTTAACTGCTGGATTTGTACTTTTCCTTGTACAATTTGGTAGATATTCTGTTCGTTTCCCTTCCCAAACAGATAATAGGAACATAAATAAATAAATAAATAATGTTTATTATATCCTCAGCTCTACTCACATGCAGTACAGGGCTTTGATGTCAGATCTGAATTTGAATCTCAACTCTGCTGCTTCCTACCTGCATTACTCTTGGACAAGTATTTTGTTGTTGTTGTTTTTGGTTTTTTGTTTTTGTTGTTTTTTTTGAGACAGGTCTTGCTGTATCGCCCAGGCTGTAGTGCAGTGGCACGATCTCGGCTCACGGCATCCTCCGCCGACCTAGTTCAAGGGATTCCCTTGCCTCAGCCTCCTGAGTAGCTGGGACTACAGGCGCGCGCCACCATGCCTGGCTAATTTTTTTGTGTTTTAGTAGAGACGGGGTTTTACCATGTTGGCCAGGATGGTCTCTATCTCCTGCCCTCGTGATCCACCCACCTCAGCCTCCCAAAGTGCTGGGATTACAGGCATAAGCCACTGCACCCAGCCTGTTTTTTGTTTTTTAAGAGACAGGGTCTCTCTCTTGTCACTCAGTCTGGAGTGCAGTGGCACAATCATAGCTCACTGCAACCTTGAACCTGGGCCGAGCAGTCCTCCCACATCAGCTCCCGAGTAGCTAGGACTACAGGTACACACCATCATGCCTAGCTAATTCTTAAATTATTTGTAGAGATAGAATCTTGCTATGTTGCCCAGGCTAGTCTCGAACTCCTAGCCTCAAGCCATCCTCCCACCTCGGCTTCCCAAAGCACTGGGATTACAGGCATAAGCCATGCCTGGCCTTGGACAAGTTTTTTAATTTTTTCTTTTTTTTTTTTTTTATTTTTTTTTTTTGAGACAGAGTCTCACTCTGTCACCAGGCTGGAGTGCAGTGGTGCAATCTGTGCTCACTGCAGCCTCCACCTCCCAGGTTCAAATGATTCTCCTGCCTCAGCCTCCCAAGTAGCTGGAATTACAGGCACCTGCCACCACGCCTGGCTAACGGAAATATCTTTCTGGCAGCTGTGAAGGGAACTGATCAGAGTAGCAGGGAGACCCAAAGCAGACCAGTTAGAAGGCTGCTGAAATAGCCTTAGCCAGTGACGAGGAGGGACGGAAGGAGGCATTGGTAGTGGGGGCAATCTTTTCTGTATATGTCCTTGTGTTTCCTTATTTATATCAGTGTGTTGTCTACTCAGTTTTGTAAGCTCCCTAAAAGATCCCTCAATGTCCTTTAAAATGTTTCCTTGACAGTAAAATTATAGGTACCATATTTCAAATACAAAATGGAGTTATTCATTGCTTCTCCCAGAGGTTGGGAGCCTTGCCTGGATGGCCGTAGTATCTCCAGCTTCTCCCTTCCTGCGTGGCACCCAAAGGAATTCAGTAATTGGGGTGGCACCAAATTGAATGTTTCTCACCCCACTGCCAGTTGTTGACTCAGCTAGGAAAGGCTTGCACAGAACCAGCGGTGCTCTCTCCTCTAAGCCTCTTTCTGACCAGTGGGGTGGCCAGTAGGGGTTAGGGATCACCATTTCCTCTGTGTGCAGTCTTGTAAGGTGGGGGAAGCATGCCTTGGCCTTTAAACACACTGCCAGGCCAATCTCATAACTTCTGAGGCAAAATATTGGCTTAGTCTCTATCCTTTTGGGAGAATCTCAGAGGTTGCTTGATGTGACCATAATTCCTATTAAAATATTATCTTTTACAGCTGCCTCAAAAAGGGTCAGCACAGTCACTAATAGGCCCTTCTTCCTTACTCTTGCTGGAAATGGCCTGGAGCTTCTCTTACATTCTGGCCACCTAATTTGGTTTTTGTAGCACCCTTAGCCCCCACCCATAGCCCCACCCTGGGAGAAGTTATTGGACTGATCCCAGCAGGCTCAAGCACAGCTCCCTGCCTCTGCAGCTGGGGATATAAATAACCACCAAAGCTAAACAGTCAAATAACCACATTTTGAAAATCACTAAAAAAAAAAATCACTCTGATCTTGATTCAATAGCAGTTCTTCTCTCACCTCTGCCCTTCATCTCCCCACTTCCTCCACTTATCCACCTCCCTTTCCTGATCCAAGCTCCCTAGGGAAGTCAGTCCGAGCACAAAGCTGTCTTATGATGAAGACATCCTTTTCCATATTGGACAGGGCCAAAGCCCTTCAGGGCTGTAGTTATAGTTACAAGATGTTGTTATGGCAGCAGAGGCCTCAGGGCAACATATGTTCCACACTGGTAATTGGGTTTTCTTTAACAGACTGTCTCTCCCTGGATTCTCCATGC